CGAAGCATGAGTAAATAGCTATAGGGTGCGCTTTCATATGGAATGAATTGAATGGCTACACTGCTATGCATTTTTATTCTTCGCTGAATGTACGACTAAACATGCTTTGCACACATATCCGTTCTATATCAAGTACTGAGCTACGGTAATATTTGTGAGTTTGTATCTCATGTGTCATTTTTTTTCAGAAAAAGTTTCTTTGTAGAGCACTTCAGAGTTTTGTGTAGTTCTAATAAATTATCACGCAGTGTGTACCAACAAAGTTTTCCGCATCACTAGTTCCACAATGTAAACATTCATTGAGAATAGATAACACGAATTTTTAATATTTGAAGTTGTTAAGAAGAACCATTTTATCAAGATATATAAAAATTGAAAGCGGTTATTGCTTGTATTTCAAGTGAGTTATGACCAACGTCGACATCTAGAAAGGATGAAGTTGGCCAACTCTATTGCTTTATTTCTTGGTCTAGTTATAATGACTTAATTGTGATTTCTTGGCAGGATATCACTTTCTGATTGTTAAGATCAGAACATGATTGTGCTAAAAGCTCGAGGGGGGGGGGGGGGGGGGGGGGGTGTGTGGATGTGGGGTGTTGGTGTAGCTATGGTTGTGGCTATGGCTATGACTGTGGGTTTGAGTGTGGCTGCGAATGAAGTGAATATCAACACCCACACCCATACCCTTGATAGTAAAATTGAGCTAACTTTTCACCAACTCAACGAAATGCGCTAAAAATTTGGATTTAGAGGTTTTAGATGGTGCTGAACACGATGAGAATATCAAATCGAAAAACTAAACTTTGACGAGTGCTTCGATTTCTTGACGGCATCGCGAGTGCTCTCTTAAATCGTTATTTAAATCGGAAAAAAAGTTACAGAGGCTGTATGGCTTAGCACTTGCGACAGAAGTCTCTTCGATGTAAAATTTATTATTACTGGAGTTCATTGCTATCTAAATTGTGGGAAGATAGGAATGCGCGGTGTCGGATTACTAAACACCGGTTGACACCGACAGTGACGCTCAGTGCACACGAATACATTCAGTGTCACTGAGCACTGAAATATTGAACAAACTGACACCGACGTCACTGAAGCACCGATGACCTATGCATTAGTGATTCCTGATGAGTCAGACACACAGACTTCACTGGTACATTAATGTTGATTTTCATTGACTGTAATCCATAAGCAGAGCATCATGACATCTTTCAGATAAAATACCATAATACGTAGGATGTTCTCATTGTATGAGAGACTGTATCAGCTGCATAGTTTATCAAATATATTTCTTGTATCTCTTACAGCTGGATGTGGGTGTGTGGGTGTAACTATTGTGTTCAGTGATATTCACACCAACACTCTATTCATATACATTGCCTATAAATGAGGATTTATACTGTGAAAATTTATCATGCAGAACCTTCGAGTATATATTTCAACCCGCTTAGCTTCGTCTCGATGTAGTTTCTCCTCGCTCCGCTGTGTTTGACCCCACCGAAAATTTTCCTCGCGTCATTCGGTCTGAGGAAAATCGCTCCCCGCCTGGTCTTGATGTCTGATATCTTGCAGTATTATATAAGAATTAGTTACGAAATGTCAGTGAAGTCAGTGTGCCTGGCTCACCAGTGACGCCGAGGATGTTAGTGCATCAGAGATCACCGATGCGTAGGTCACCAGTGCTGCAGTGATGTCGGTGTCAGTTTGCTCAATATTTCAGTGCTGAGTGACACTGAACGTATCCGTGTGCACTAAACGTCACTGTCGATGACAAAAGTATCGGCTTTTTCGGTGTTGTCCCTGATACTGCTCATTCCTATGTGAAGATGATGATTCGAAACGCATTGCACACTGTGACGATTTTAGATAGAGTAGGGACAGCTCGAGAGCTGTTATCCTAATACTTTATTAGTGTAAGTAAAATCGTCCATATACTGTATTTTTCGCGCTCCTTATGTGCTATTTCTTAGCATAGAAGGACCTTGAAGAATACAGTAAACACAATAACAGAAAAATACGGGTTTAAGGACAAATTCAGAGAGGAACAAAGGTTAGAAGATTATGGTTAACACTGTACGAAAGAACGACACGTCAAGAGTATGGTTTCAAAGTACAGATACGAGAGATAAGCGTAGCGGATAGAAAAGATGTTATGGTTATTCCTTTTATGGATAACACTATGTATGAGGCGAGGATGCATTAAGCGTGACATTCCAAAGTACAAATAGAAGAAGAACGAACAGAAAAGGGTATTGCAGCTATCTCTATTATGCACGAGAAAAGGACAAACTAGTAATAGAAGTGTGGATAGGTAATAGATAGAGAAACGCATCGCACTTGTTTCAATCGAGGAGAAGCAACAATTTACACATTATGCTCGGTTGTTACACACACTTTTACACATTCTTTTTTCTTGTTCATTTCCGTCTTTGCTGTAATGAAATGAAAACTAACTTTCCGTCTTTTGTTCACACCGATGAATCATCATTGTCATCCATCGAAAGTCATCTATCATCCATTACTCTCACTTCATCTCATCGATTCTCATCTATGACTCATCAATCAATTGCTGTAATTGATCACTATTGTATATCTCTCCTTATGTACACCACATATTGATTCTTCTTTGCACTCAATGATAGCCTTATTCCAATCGAGTCGACATTTATTGCGAACGAACAATATGTTGCTCGTCATAAAAGAGTGCAATTCGATTACCAATCTCTGAAATAAACTCAAAGCCTAGCTTTTTGTAAAGTTTTGGCCCGGCTACTGCTCCAACTCCTTCTGTCTCGGATATCAAACAGAGTGTTCCATTGGTGTGTCCCTTGTAGCCTTGATTGATAGATGCTTCGACAAGAGAACTGAATATGATCGAACCAAGACCTTTTTTCTGATGATGCCTATCAATGCCAATTGTTGATAAATAAGCGAATGTTTCGTCTGAGTTATTGATTGGTGTAATCGTCAACGATCGTCCAATGCCACATGGGACATTTTTCGTCTTGTCAACTATCATGGCGACATGGGATGCCGCATTTATTCGATCTCGAGTCTCCTTGCAATCCCATTTCTTTGCTGCGAATTTGTTTTCATTGACCATGATGGTCAATTGCTGAGAATAATCTAGCAGCATTTGTTTGTCTGTAACTAATTGATAGTGTTCTTGATCCAAATGAACAAGATGATTATTGTGCTGTACATGAGCCACTGTGACTGCCATTATATTGTTATGTATGTTTTTAAATTTTAGACTGTTCATATCAATTTGATCGTCGAACATAGACAAGCGCAAGAAGACACCAACATGGTAAATTTTGCCCACATGAGAGAGAATATTTGTGAGAAATTCATCAAGTCGCGGATCATTGGGTAAGATGGTGGTATACGTAATAATGACGAGCGCGATGTGACCAGCTTGATCAACTACGTAGCTTCCTTCAGCAATAGCAGTCGATTCATTGTTGCTATCATCAACATATTTCACTTGAATCGAATGACTCTGCTCGTTGAGTTTCACTTCGAACATTGTGCACAATGGTTGTTAGTATCTTAAACATTGTCACATGTACGTTATCTTTTATCTTTTCTGTCTCTGTAGTGTTATTTGTTGTTTCGCTGTATAGCAGAATAGGGGAAAGGCAAAGGCACAGCATGCAGTCAATCTGCAGAGTAAAACAACAGCAGTGATACTCTCTGAGAGGGTGTGCTGGAGTTAAAGACCACGTGATGTCCTTACCAACAACTTCAAAATACTTTTCTAACTATTACAGTTAACGTACAAGTTTCTCTATTTGAATGAATATTTGCTGAAACCTTCTGTTTTCTATTGCTACCTTTATTAGCAAATGTTGTGAAGTTTTGACTTCGATATAATTTTTGTTGAAATGAGGGTGCAAGTGTGTGGGTGCGGATAAATAGAAAGCCAAGATCCACACCCTACGAAAACAAAACATAAATGTTCGAAATTCATCCCTTCGTAAAGATTATTTTGTTCATGTATAGTTTTCTAGTCGAACTTTATCTTTCACATGCTTGATATGCATAGACCTCAAGATGCATCCATATCACATAACTTTCTTGCTCAAGATACTCAACAATTTCATTAGTTTAAAAAAAGAATTCGACTAGGATTGCTCCATATGTTTCGTTATTGGTCACGTTAGATTTTCTTGAATATGCATGCAGCATTTTGTGAGCAGCTCTACATGCATTTTTGTAAGCTGTCACATTTGATTGAGTGAATAGTCGATATAAGGTGACGATGAGTTTTCTCCTTTGTGTGTAAGTTAATAAATCAATAATATAAAGATGAAAGATTGTTGGATATCTATTCAATCGAGTGTAAATATTGTGCTAGGATCTTTGTATCGATTTACTCTCAAGAAATTCTTTAAATTTTAGGGTTTTCAATAAAGATCCGAGATATTGATTAATAATTTGAAAGTAAAAATAAAAAAAGGAAGAATTTTCTGCTCAGCAATGAAAGCTAAAACTCCCGAGCCAATAGACATAAGTCATATTCATTGCTACAAATAATAGAAAATATCATACATATTCACAAATTCATTAGCCTAACTGTGCCAATTTTGCTGCCAATCAAAGTCAAATTCTGAATTGTTTGATTTTCTTGCATGACCTTTATTCAGTATTCGAAAAAATCTCTGGTTTATTGAAAGAAAAAATAAGGTAAAACATTAAAACTTAAGCATCGAAGTTCAGTTAATTTCAAATCATATATAATTTTCAATAATCACGTATTTTAAGTCTTTTGACAAATAAAAATGAGTTTAACACCATACTGATCCGAAAGACTTGTTATAATCGTTCCATTTGTAGAATTGCTTTTTATCCGTTCATCGAATATGCGTTGTGTAAATAATTCGAATGGATTAAACATATGTCCATGTATAAATATATGATCAATAATATATTGATTAGTATTATTAACAACAAGATTATCTGTACATATTGTCCAACGGCTATACATTTCTGTATAATTAATCATCATACCATCTTGTTGATCCATCAATATCATTTAATTGATGTATATAATTCCAACTATCAGGTTGAATTGCTAACACATTATGTTCAAAATTAGCAATACCCATATTAAAATCACCTACCATAATGGCACTTTTATATTTCTGTTGGTTATTACGTAAAAAATTCCAAACAAGAGATTCAAGTTCTATTGTTTGGCCTTTATTTTCATCATTCCAACTATCATATGTATTATTAAGAAATGTTCCAATAGATGCATGAGGAATAGATGTTTCAATTGTAGCGACATGTGTATTAGCAATAATTAACTGTTTGTTTTCTTGACTAGCAATAATGTAACCACGAGGTGCAATATAAAATTCTGAATATAAATTAGCTGGTAGTTTTTTTAATGGATATTGTCCTTTTGATAATATCATCAGATATATAGAATGATCCCAAGGAGCTTCGGTAGAATTAGGCATAATACCTGGTGAAGTACTAATCAATTGAGGTAAATTAATTTCACCACAATAACTCAAACCTAGTGGATCACTACGACTAATAAATCGATCAAAAATACATGCCCAACATCTTGAATTCGTATAAAGAGCAAGAAATTCTGTTCGACATCGAGTGATGGTACATATAAATAGTGCTGACTCACTAACATTAGAACAATATGTAAAAAGACATTTGTGTACTCATTACGTTTGAAGCTACACAAGCAGGACTATATGTTTGTGTTGGTAATGGACCACTACTAATATAGTCACGCATATCATCATTGACAACTTCAAAATGAGGATAAATATCTTTGACGAATTGATAAATTTGACGTTAGATTTGTGGACTACCACATACTTCTTGTAAACAAAGAATATCGACATTACTCTCACGAATAGCTTTGATAATCGATGATGTGCGTTCAAATGCTTGTTGTTCTTCTAAACCAATATTCCATGTTGCTAATGTCATCTCATTTGTACGAGGTTGTGTACAAATAATTACTGGTATCAATGAAAAAAAAAAGATATACCTTGTAGAATACATATTTGTTTTCTTTTCAATTAATATCTTAGTTGATCACTAAGAAACTATGCTGAATCGACCAAATAAAAATAAATTCGTTTTTTTCTAAAATGAAATAGTTCTTGTTGTAATTTACTGCGAAAAAGATTAAAAGTATATTGAAAACAAAGTCTATTTCTATTGCAACAAAGTCATAGCTGTTGGGTTTATCAGTAGAAACAAAATAATTTCTACGTGAAAAATAGAGTCACAAAAATGACTACCTTTTAAATTTCAAGATCGAACATAACAGACACAAAATATAAGAGAGCATTGATTCATTAAATTTATAATTGTTCTTAAAATAATGATTGAACATCAAGGGATATATTTTGTGGTGTATGTAGTGATAATAATGAATATAGCACAATAGAAAAAAAGTTAAAAAATAAAAATTATATGTTAGTAGTATCACTATTTTTATTGTCATCCTATAGAAAAAATTTTATAAAAAAAAAAGAACGATTAGAAACACATTTCTAGTTGTTCCTTTTTTAATATAAACTTGCTTCTATGGGATAGAATGATGGAATCGAGATTGGTTATTTTCTCTATGATAAATATCAACACAGATTGATACAAGTTGAAAGAACAGACAACACATGATATATTTTATACCTTGATGCAACAATACAATACACGTACATCAATGAAAGAAAAGAGGATGTATTATTGATGCATAGTAAACATGAAACTTTTCCCCATATTTACCTATAATCGTAAACGCAATCAAAGTATAGATCATGACGATGAGTAATTGGATATTTATAAGAAGATTATTACGTTTAAGTGACGTTTTTAGTCATTAGTCAAGTTTATGAAGTATTCTCACGTTTTTGGCATAATTTTTATCTAAATGACTCAAAACATGGATCATTTTCTAGTTAGTTAATTCGAACAACTCAATAGTAAGGCCTTATCATAAACTGAGTTCAATATGTCAAAAGAATCACAGGAAATATTGTTCGTTCATATTTAAGTTTATATATAAGCATAGAAACCTTCTCAGCTGTCTAGATTTATCATTAAAAATTAGAAAATTAACGTTTGTAAAAACTAAATATAATAAACACTTTCGTTGTTGTTCAGATATGATGCTTTTTTACAACGAACTAAAAAGTGAAAGGAAATGTTCGTCAATCATTAGCAATAGACACAATAATATCCATTGACAATAGACCTGTACTGCTACAAACGCTTCTCAATCTACAACGAATTTCCATCAGATCTGAATGAAATATGTACTTTCATTGTCCATCAATGCGATTCTACGCTAAAATCAACGAATCATTCCAAGATTATTCTTTACACAGGCAAGCGAGAAGTGTGACAATGGCACAAAATATATTTTGCACATAAATTTGCACTCTTCAAAAATTTCCCATGGACTTCTAGCATATTTCGAGGAGCGCATATTCTCATTTTTGGGCACCTGAAACTCTTTACATCTTTGAAATTTCACAATTTTTATAAAAAAATTCATTCAAAAGCATCCGGATCATATTTAAACCTGGGCATCGAAACCGCTCAGAAATTCAAATAGTGATGTTTTAGCCTTTTATCTTTAACACATGTATCGAAAACTATCGTAATTGAGTTGAGATTGATTGATATTAATTAAATTATACGAAGATAATATCTTTGGTTTAATGGTTGATATTTCATGTGAGCTAAACCCTGATCAATTATTGTGGTTTATGTCCTTATTGTTTCTGCGGTTCAAATACAATGTTACAGTACCACAGCATGAGTATCCAAAGAATGTTCTTGATTGTTTAGGAACAACCCACCTATATAATGGTTCGTTTGAGAGATGTTTTTTTTGCTAGACATATGCAGGAAAATTCGCCAGTTAGTGTCACAATGAATGTATCAAGATCGAATAGACACTCATCGATTTGTCTACTGAGAAACGAGGAAACATGTAAATTTTTTTCAAATTCAGTTTTTTTTTCAAGATTGAAAATAGTTAAAAAAAAAAAAAGACCGACAGAACAAAAGTTAGGCATCATTCTGTTTGCTTTTTGTATGATGAATTTCGGAAGTCTACTTTTTAGCTGATTTATTAAAACGTGAGTTTTCTAATTGTACCAGGGGCGGCGGAACGTTTCCAAATCAGGTGAGGCTCAGTAAAAAACTTTTTTTTATTATCCTAAGTAACTTTTTTCTTCTATCAAAGTCTTTGTTGACGAAAGGGTGTGGATGTGGGTGGGTGTTGGCTTTGGTTTATTTTCTTTTCTTCTTCGACATCCACACCAACACTCCAAAGGGAAAACAGCAGATTTCAACTCTTTGGAGTCCCTTGTAACCTCATGGAACCCTTGAAGTCCCATGGAATGCCGAAATATTTTCGATTTCCCTGCAAAAGCCCTTTATAAAAATTAGAAACAGTTATTTCTTAATTTTTTTTTTGTCGATCATTATATCAGATAGGATAGAAATAGTTGAGGAGATGGGTCGCATAGCTATCTGGAGGGTGTAGGTCACGTTGGACAGAAAAAAGGGATCGAAAGCAATTGCCAGGTGCCAAATCGCTATTGGGTCGAGACTATGTGCATTATGTAGGCTCTAATGAGCCATGAATACTGTAAAAAAGACTCGTGTTTCTTGCTTATTTCTATCAAGATATTTGATTTTTACAGCAATTTTCAGCAGAACACCGTGGTCTCCGTCAGATTTACTTGGAAAATCAACTTTCAAATTTCGATTTGAAAGTTTGTGCAGAGAAGGGTCTCAATCAGACTAGTTTGTTCTGACGGTTTCAGATTTTTGGGTTCCTTCTCTCTTGAGACACGAGTGTAAGAAAAAGTACTTTTTTTTCATATTACTTAAAGCACAAAATGTTAAGTGTTCATATTTAAAGATAGGAGCAACGAAGAAATTTCAGAATTTCAGAATAAACCAGTCTTATTGAGACCTTTCTCTGCTCAAAGCTTCAAGTCGAAATTCGAAAGTCGATTTTTCAGTGAGCTTGAGGGCGACCATGATGGTGTGCTAAAAAATGTCATAAAAATAAAAAATCTCGACAAGGGTTTAATGGCGCATCTTTGAGGATCTATTGAAGATAGATGATGATACGTTCTATCAAAAGATAGATTAAAACTTCCATTTGAACTCCGACAAAATCCAGCAAATGAACTGCATTATATATCAGTGACTATTTTTCACCATACGGATTGGAAGTTTTTGATCTTATTATAGCCTAAAGAGCTTCAAGAAGCCCGGACGGTCTGTAATATATAGTAAATACATAAAACTATACAAGTATTTGATGACTACAAAATATAAGTAGATCATCAATTAAAAATATAAATTTTACTTATATGGTCTAATTAATAATATTCACCTATTTTACGTACTTTGTGGTACCTGATATTTAATGCATACTCGCTATAGAGCGACATCCAAGATTCTCTTAAATCAGGACCATGGTAGCTTCAATGCTAGCTACGAGATGGGTTCGAATCTCGAAAATTGATTTTGTCACCTGGCTGTCCACTGTGTGGGTGTGGGTGTGGATCGTTGATTTTGCTTTCACACCCACACACCCACACCATTATTAACTGGTTTACTTATTGTTGTTTCACAGGTTTCAGCTATTGAATAATTATAGGTTTTGTTTTCATTTTTGTTTCCATTAACATTTATCTTTTTCAATTTGATTATCAACCTAAAATATAAGTTATTGACAGTAGTCTGGTAATCCTTTTTTTAAGATCGAAATGACTAAGTACTATGCACACCGCTAGTGTGAATGCTTACATCACATTTTATAGTAGTACCGTGGTCGTTCATTGTGCATCATAGAGCATTGAACAGGAAACATTCGTATGATAAAAGAGACTGAAGGATTCTCAAATAATTCTACCGTTTTTTAGATCTTGAAAATATCTTGGAGTTCCTCGGAATTATATGGAACCCAGGAATCCCGGAATCTGTTATTTGCCCTGTGTCCACACCCACACTCTGTTAGGAGTGTGCTTTCACTCAATATAGAGAAATGAGTGATACATCACGAAGATGAAGATAAACGCTTGAATACAAATAGTTCTGACATTGACTGCATTATTCTATAATCGTTTTTGTTTGTACAACACTCTATGTGAATAAAACAAAGATGTTGTGACGAATTATGACGGCATAGATAGTAGGCTTTATTACCGTCTCGTTTTTTAAGTGTGCTTCATCGTTATATATAGATAAACGCGTAAAAGGTTTCAATATCTTAACTAATATAAGGT